TTAGATTTAAGTGAACCTAGTATGGTTGGACTCGTAACTGAATGGATTGACGAATATTGTGAGTTTTGTCGGGTTTCGAGGTGCGGGCCCGGGTTGGGCTTTTTTGGCTGAGTTTGGGTTTTTAATTACAGATTCGACCTTTTTCGATTGGGATTGGTTCCTTTAGCATTGCTTGATGTATTTGAAATGTTTTTGGTTAGTTTCGAGCCGTTCGGAGTTCAGAGTGCGCGGAATGGCATTTTTGGAGTATCGCTTATCTTGCTCGGTATTGGAATTAGCTTGTCCGAGGTAAGGAGAACTTCTAAACTAAGTGCTGAAGGTATGAAACCCCGAATTACGTGTTATGTGGTCGATGTTGAGGTGACGGGCATGTGGGTGTGCACCGTATAAATTGTTACTCCGTTATTTTGTGGTACTGTGTTGTTACCTGATCTTACCTATAACCATAAAATTTTTACGTTCATGAGCTATTGAGCCGTGATCTATGTTAGAAACCATGTCTAGGATACATACTTATCTTATTGACACCCAATGAGGTCATTTTTGCTGTTGAGTTATCTGCTTTCATTGCATTACTTACTTAGTCATACGCATTCATATACATATCATATCTCAGTCTCTGTTGTTATTCATTGATACATCATATCCTCATATTCGGGCTAGTTTTATGTCATTGTGAGCCGGTGACAGAGAGACTGGAGATATTAATGATTGAGTGAGGCTAAGGGCCTGATGTGTGAGTGATATTATGGAATCAGGCTGCACGCCGCAACATGTTATATTGATTTGTGCCATGATTAGGTTGATATAGCGCTTGGGCTGAAGGAGCCCCTCTGGAGTTTGTGCATACCCCTAGTGAGCGTGGTTGATTTATTTGAGGGATGGATCTTCCCTGGATATGATCTTGTCCGAAGCATTTATATTGAGGAATGGATCTTCCCTGGACATGGAACTTGTCCGAAGCATTTATACCTGGGGATGTATCTTCCCCACAGGCTGGATTGGGCCTACTCAGTATTTGTTGATCAATGGTCAGTTGATGTATATATTCCGGAATGGATCTTCCCTGGGTTGTATTGGACATATACAGTACAGAGTGATTGGGCATGATGAGTGGAAAGTGTGAGACAGTGAGATTGAGTACTCTAAGAGTGTGAGTACATGAGTTCATTTGTGAGATACGTGGCATTTACATGCACACATGACATATAGGCATAGAGATGTATTTTTTCTCACGATGTACGGTATCACGTCATTCATGAATTCTCACACATATTGGCATATGAACATAGTGATGTATTTTACCGGATATCTGGAAAGCAAAAGGAAATATGTTATTTATTGTTGAAAGAATTTTTGGGAAAATTACAGTTTTCGAACTTACTCGTATATTTAGCAACTTCGACGAATGACTTGGGTTTTCATTGATGTACTTGAACGGCCGAACTGTATTCAGAAAACATGATTAAGCTAAGTATTTTATCCCTGAGATACTTCTTTAATTACTTGCTTTACGTTATTACGAACTGTTGTTGGCTATTGGTGTTAGACACAACCTTTGTTCTAGCTCTTCACTACTTTCAACCTAAGGTTAGGTTTGTTACTTATTGAGTACATGGGGTCGGCTGTACTCATACTACACTTCTACACCTTGCGTGCAGGTGTTGGCTATTGTTGTTGTTGTTGTGTTCGATGGAAGCTAGATTTGAAGATGTACCTGCATCCCTATTGTGGCTGCCTCTTGTTCGTGGTAGCCTTAGATTTATAAAACTATGTTTATGTACTTTTCAAACAGAAGATGTATTCAATTCATATCAGCTTTGTAAACTCTATTCTTAGGAGCTCATGATTTGTACTACCAGACATTGGGAAACGTATTAGATTCGGATAATTTGTTTGCTTAATTGTCTTGCTAAATATTATCGGAAGTAGTTAGTTTTTAGTTGGCTTACCTAGCGGGTTGGGTTAGGTATCATCACGATTAGTGAATTTTGGATCGTGACACTCATATTCCAACACATATATATGCCCCTACTGCTTAACATCAAATAAACACCTAAACAAATAAAACACAAAATAATATATGTTTCATATAACAAAAGTATTTTTAATTATCTGATTATTATGAAATCTGGAACTCTTATGCCTGTCTATAATCATTTTAACTTTGGGTTTTAATTCATAATGGGGATTTCTACAAACTTAGCCTATCATGTCATGAGTAATATAAAATTACTAACAGAGATATCAAGTGGATATTGGAAACGCAACGCACACAGTATATTAAATATTTTGTATAGCTATATTTATCATAAATATACTTCGAGCAGTTATAGGTGTGACTTGATGATCAATAAAGTGTAGGAAATTCATAAGCTCTCTAGTTCCAATCTCAATCGTGGCAACATAAAAATGCTTGATATAGTAGCTGCAGAAATAGTCGATCAAGATACATGCATGGTGGCCCAGATTTCACTGTCATAACACTTGATGACGTAAATCCGATATACTTGATAGTATGTCATCTTTGAACGAAAAGAAAACAAAATAGTAAATTCACTAAATTATCGTAAACTGCAACCTGAAAAATTTATTTCTTGTATTGATTGACTATATTCACTTATTTTACATATTATTAGTATATTTTAATCTATGAAGTTTCAGTCAAAAAGGTTTCGGATATGATCACCAAAATTTGATAAAAGAAAAATAAAACAAAGTGACATGCTTGCTAACATCAAAACGACCTAGCTAGTTACCTACAAACTCACACACATTAACACAAATTAAGTAATTACTTCAAATTATAATTTTTCTATTAATAGTCATCATTCACGAATGCTCTACAGATTGCTCCCAAGTATAATGAGTTTACCTAAATTATAATATTATTCCTACTTTAAACAGAAAAAAAAAGGACATAAATTTAAAAAAATTAATTTTTAGAACGTAATATTAGGTGAAATAGAATGATAACCATTTTATTGATATAGATAGGGGTGTTCACGGTTTGATGGAAAACCGATCCAAACCGAAAACCGAACCAAACCGATTAAGTAAACCGATATTTTTTTTGATTTGGATTGGTTTTGGTTTTAAATTTTAAAAACCGATAATATTTGGTTTGGTTTTGGTTCTATTTTAAAAAACCGAAAAATAAACCGAACCAAACCGATTAATTATATACAAAATTTAATAATTATTTATATACAATATAATATTTTGTTAATAATTTTAATTGTTATTTTGAATTTTGGTTTATCCTGTTATATCTTAAAATATTGCCTAAGCCCAAAACAATAGGATTCGACCAATTTTCTTTTCATTAATAGACTCTAATTCTCTAACCCTCCTCACATACTTTTGCCTAAAAGAAGAGGTAAAAAAAAACCACCACAAGAGTAAAGAAAGCACATTCAAATTGCAAACAATGGCTAAAGCTTGAGAAAGCAACCTTTTAGTTTGTTTTTTGTTCATTCTTTTCATATAAACATGTAAATAAACTTTCAGTTCTCAAAGAAATATATAAAAAGCATAAATTTGGCCAATTATTTTCAGATTGTTGTCTAGCGTTGTTTTAATATTATCGACTTATCATTAGCTTACTAAGAACCGAAAAACCGAACCAAACCAACAACAATCAAACCGATGGTTTGTATTTAATTTGGTTTGGTTTTGGTTTTAAAATTTTAAAAACCGATTAAATTGATTTGGTTTTGGTTTTAATCAAAAACCGACCAAACCGAACCGTGAACACCCCTAGATATAGAAGATTAGAAAAAGACTTGACAACTAGAAAAGTCTTCCTCTTATCTATTTAATTATTTATTTACTTATTTGCTTATCTACTAATTTGTTTATTTATTTATTGTCTTTGATTCCTTTTGTTTTTCCTTTTTGGGCTTGCTTTGACTCTCTAAAAATCACTTATAAAAACTCAAACGCTGGATTAATTCTTCACTTCTCTTTTCTTTTTTTTCACACTCATGGATTCTCCCATTGGGTCTAGTTCTGATGAACAAATTCAAAAGCTAGAAGAGTGAGTTTTATTGAATAATTTTAAGTCTCTCTCTTTTTTTTTTTTGTTGGTCCTTTAAATTTTTGGTGTTTTTATATTTACGATGTTGTTCATTGAATAATGTTGTCTATTGTGGTCAATTTGTGGTGGCTATCATAGGTTTCTCTACATCAATCTAAGTATTTTAAGATACTAAAAGTTTTAACTCATGTTCTTGTAATATTTTCTTTTTATGATTTTGTTTTAGATTTGTTTTCTAATTTGTCATGGATGTGACAATTCCCTTTTTCTTAAATGTATCTGATCTACTTGATTTTTAGAGGGTGTTTGGCTAAGCTTATAAGCTGGTCAAACTGGCTTATAAGCACTTTTTGGCTTATCTACGCGTTTGGTAAAATTTAAAGTGCTTATAAGTTAAGTGCTTATAAGCCAAAAGTCATAAGTTGGTCTCCCCCAACTTATCAAATTTCAGCTTATAAGCACTTTAGGTTTGACCAAAATATTTACTATTCTATCCCTAAAATACTTCTTTTTAAAACAAAACTCTTCGTATACCCAGTTCTTCAGCTGCTTATTATTAATTTCAGCACTTTTATCCAAACACGTAACTGCTTATGTTTTAAATCAGCTTCAGCACTTAAAAGTGCTTTTCAGCACCTAATGCTTATCAGCTAAGCCAAACGGACTCTTAGTTGTTTACATCTTCATCTTATTTTCTCCGTCCATCAATAGATTCACATATTTCACTTCATTAATTTTAAGAAAAGTAAAACAGAAAGGCTGATTCAATTAAGTAAATCAAGAAGAAGAAGAATCTCTTACCTAATAGGAATTTTATTCCAGTCTCAAGAAGTTCGTTAATTACAAACATCTGAAATTTCCCCTTTGTTGATCTTAATATTTTCCTTTTCATTGCATGTTTTGGTTTCTATCAATTAGTTTTTGCTCATTCTAACAGATTTTTTTTTCTGACTAGGGTTTTTAGTGAGATGCCAAATCCAGAAAACGACGTGATAGAGAAATTGAGTGAGGAGCTAAGGCTTGATACCAATCAAATCAAAATTTGGTTTGAAAACAAAAGATGCTACATCCAGGTTCTTATAAACTTTTGATAGTTTATTTAATTACTTATAAATGGCAGTAGTCGAGCTACGTTGAATTCTCAAATAAAGAGAATACATTTTGTATTCCCTTAAAATCGTTCCTAGCTCTGTCACTGATCGTCATATGATATGAATTCCACTGTTCTCCACTCGTTGTTATCACAACAATCATCATTTCATCATAGTTTTGCTTCTTTTATTTTAGGGATATGTTTCTTTTCTTTCTTTTTTGTTTAAAAATGTACCTGCTGTTGACTTGAATAGATAACTATGATCCAAATTTACACTAATTTCAGGCCCAAAGGGATAAGGAAGAACGTGAAAATCTTCGTTTGGAAAACTCAAGATTACTTTCAGAGAACTTGCAAATGAATCTCGAGTTGAGGAATCGCCTTTGTGCTACGTGTAATCCTGAGAAACAAAGAAAAATACTACAAGACTTGCAAAATGAAAATGCTATATTACAAGCTGAGGTCAACTTTCATTTCCTATTAATTTCTGCTTTTTCACATCTGTTGTTGTTCATGTAGTTTTTTTTTCCTGCAGCTTACAATAATATCCAACATGCATGATCATTTGAAGGAAAACCCTGAAAGGTACTTGTTATTAAAACATCATCTGCGTCACTACGATAATCCAAGTGGACTAGACTTGAATCTTAAAGTGGAATGTGATCACAGTTTTCCAAGATTGAATTGGAACTGACTGAAGGCTATTTCATGGTTGAAAAGTTCAATGATGGAAGTTTTTAGTGGCATTTCAACTGTTTTTTTGTATCCTCTAGCAAATATTGGGAACAAACATTTGTTGCTAGGTTTCAATATTAGCGGCTGACGAAAATCTGCCGCAAATCCATTTCCAAATATGCTATTTAGTTACAAAATTCGTTGTCGCTAATTCATTTTTTGAAGTGTTAAGTGGTTCTATAATTGCTTTACCACAAAAAGAAATTACAATTAAAGTGATTATAATCAATTTTTAGTTTAGAAACTTTCCCTTAATAAAGGTATTTATTATCCATGGTTAGTTAAAATTTCTAGGATGATTTTCTCTTCTTGTCGTCATCTTAATTTATGCGGTTGCTATGGAACACGAAGAGCATGTTGAGGACAATAGGGTTTCTACTTACTTTTGAAATGCACAAAAATATAGAAAGATCTCAAATTTATTTTTCATGGAATAAAGTCACGCAAATTTAGATAAATCACCCACAAAAATATCATAATTTTAATGTCACGACCCCAATCCCGGTCGTGATGGCGCCCAACACAATGCTAGGCAAGCCCGACCAATTAACAACCTTAACCCAATTCCTTATACAATTCATTATTAATTAACATAGATAAATAACCAAGTCATAATACTAGAAGTCTGAAATAAGAGTTTAACATGCGGAATATCAAATAAAAACCTACTACTTAGCCCATAAGGAACAGGTGTCACAAGTCTGAGCCTCTAATATAGGTTTATCAACCTAATGCATAGTGGTCTAGGGAATAAGAAATAAAATAAAAGATAGAAGGGAGAGATCAGGGCTGCGAACGCCATGCAGCTACCTCGATGCTCCCAGATATGCGCTGCCCAACAGAGAATCCTCACTCAGCCTCAGATGCACCTGGATCTGTACGCAAGGTGTAGGGAATAACGTGAGTACTCCGACCCAATGAGTAATAAACATAAATAAAGACTGAGAATAAGAAATCATTAAAAAACACAAAGTAATCTATACTGCGGCAGCTAAATCAAGTAGAATGAAATCAATAAAACAATGAAATCGAATTGTAGAAAAGCTACGGCAAATAAGCAACTAAGCGACAGAGATAGAAAGATAATCAGCACATAATATGGTACCCGCTGCGGCGTGCAGCCCGATCCATTTATTTATCGTCGACGGCGCTCACTAGGGGTGTGCAGACTCCGGGAGGGGCCCCCTAAGGCCCAAGAGCAATATCAAGCCATCTCGTGGCATCAACTAGGCCCTCGGCCTCATATCAATATCAATATAATACTGCTGCGGCGCGCAACCCGATCCCATACTCAGTCCAGAAATCACATAAGCCCCTCGGGCCACAATAATATAACAATTCTCAGCCAAAGCATCATTAGAAATATCATTTAATTTTTCAAATCTGGGTAAAAGTGGCTGAATTTGTAAAAACAGTATTAAATAGTAGGACTGAGTTTAAATAATGTGTCAAAATGGTGAGAAACCAGTAGTAGCAATCCCCGAAGGGTTCAAACAGTTGGCACGAAGCCCAAATATGATGATAACAAGTAAATTTCAGTCAAATGCGCAGTAAATTCATCAATCGGGACGGACCAAGTCACAATCCCCAACGGTGCTCTACCCCACGCTCGCTATCCGGCGTTCAAGTCACCTCAATATAGCACTACGATGTGCAAATCTGGGGTTTCAAACCCTCAGGACATCATTTACATCTATTACTCACCTCAATCCGGCCAAAGCTCTAGCTCGCTATGCCCTTGCCTCTCGAATCGACCTCCTCACGCGTCGAATCTGACCAAAACCAGAGCGAATACGTTACAATAAGCTAAGGGAACAAAACCCAAGCGAAAACAATCGAAAAATATCAAAAATCCCGAAATTAGCAAAACCCGAACCCCGGGCCCACTTCTCGAAACTCAGAAATTTTCACATCTACGGGTTCCTTATCTCGCCACGAGTCTATACATATCAAGAACTCCCAAATCCGAGCTCAAATTGCCCATCAAATCCCAATTTAAAATCTCCAATTTCCAAGCCTTAGTTCTTCCCCTTTTTGCTAAGTTTCCATAAATTTCAAGGTTAATCTCACATAATAATCACGTTTTTAGTTCATAAAACTTACCTCCAATAACTCCTCTTCGAATCCCTCTTCAATTCCTCCCAGAAAGCTCTCACAATGCTTAACAATGGTGGGAAATGACTTAACCTCGCGGAACAAAATGTTTTAAAACCCTTCTGCCCAGCTCTGTTTTTCCTCTATGCGATCGCGGCCCCAGGCACGCGATCGCGGAGAGCAATTTTCCAAGCCTCCAAAAATAACTATGCGAACGCGACCAGTACATCGCGATCGCGATGCTGTCTTCTTCAAAGTACGCGAACGCGTACTCCAGGCCGCGATCGCGAAGGGCAATTGCCCCTGACCCTCAAATCCTCTTATGCGAACGCAGAGGGACTCCTGCGAACGCGAAGCTTACCACGTGACTCTCTGCGATCGCGAACGCTCCAATGCGAACGCGATGAACAAATCTGCTGCCTCTCCAATTCCTTCTATGCGATCGCGAGGGACCTCCCACGATCGCGAAGCATTAAAAACCTACAACAGCTGGGGCAAAAATCTGCAATTTCTTCCAAGTTCAAAACCTCCCGTTAGCCATCCGAAATCACCCCGAGGTCCCCGGGACCTCAACCAAAAGCACCAACACATCCTAAAACATCATTCAAACTTGTTCCAATCATCAAAACACCTCAAACAACACAAAAACCATCAATTCTCATCGAATTCAAGCCTAAGTTCTTCAAAAACTTTCGAAATACGCATTCGATCAAAAACCTAACCAAATCACCTCCAAATGGTCTGAAATTTTGCACACACATCCCAAATCATCTAACGAAGCTACTGCAACTCTCGGAGTTTCATTCCGACCCTCGGATCAAAATCTCACCTACCAACCGGAAATTCGAAAATCGCCAAAATACTAACTTCGCCAATTCAAGCCTAATTCTACACCGGACCTCCAAAATCACTTCCGATCACACTCCTAAGTCAAAAATCATCCCCCGAAGCTAACCGAACCATCGTAAATCATATCCGAGCCCTCTATCACATAACTCAACATCCGATTGACTTTTCCAAACTAAGCCTTCCTTAAAGAGACTAAGTGTCTCATTTCCTTCTAAAATCAACCCAAACCAACTCGATCACACAAGACAATGATAATGAAGTATAAAGAAGCAGAAAAATGGGGGAAACGGAGCGCTAACTCATGAGACGACGGGTCGGGTCGTCACATCCTCCCCAACTTAAACAAACGCTTGTCCTCGAGCGAGTCAAGAAACATACCTGAAGCCTCAAATAGGTGAGGGTATCTGCTCCGCATCTCCCGCTCGGTCTCCCAGGTAGCCTCCTCCAGGGGCCGACCTCTCCACTACACCTTCACCGAAGCAACATCCTTTGACCTCAACTTTCGAACCTGACGATCCAAAATGGCTGCTGGCTCTACATCATAAGTCAAATCACCCTCCAACTGAACCGTACTGAAATCCAGAACATGGGACGGGTCTCCAATATATTTCCGGAGCATAGAAACATGAAAAAACTGGATGCACGCTTGACAGTCTGGGTGGCAAGGCAAGCTCATAAGCCACCTCCCCAATCCTCCGAAGTACCTCAAAAGGCCCAATGAACTGCGGACTCAACTTCCCCTTCTTTCCGAATCTCATACCACCCTTTGTGGGTTAAACCTTCAACAGGACCTTCTCGCCATGTAGGATACATCTCGAACCTTCCTGTCCGCATAACTCTTCTGTCTCGACTGCGCTATACGGAGTCTTTCCTGAATCACCTTCACCTTCTCTAATGCATCCTGGACCAAATCTGTCCGCAATAGCCTAGCCTCACCGGGCTCGAACCAACCAACTGGAGATCTACACCGCCTCACATACAAGGCCTCATACGGAGCCATCTGAATGCTCGACTGGTAGCTGTTGTTGTAGGCAAACTCTGCAAGCGGTAGAAACCAATACCATAACCCTCCGAAGTCCATAACACAGGCGCGTAGCATATCCTCTAGTATCCGAATGGTGTGCTCGGACTGCCCTTCCGTCTGAGGGTGAAAGGCTGTGCTCAACTGTACCTGAGTACCCAACTCTCGCTGAACAGTCTGCCAAAACTAAGAGGTAAACTGAGTGCCCCGATCTGATATGATGGAAACTGGGACACCATGCAACCGAACAATCTCCCGAATATAAATCTCTGCCAGCCGCTCAAAAGAATAAGTAGTACAAACAGGAATGAAGTGCGCGGACTTGGTCAGCCTGTCTACAATCACCCAAATAGCATCAAATTTCTTCAAAGTCCGAGGGAGTCCGGTAACAAATCCATAGTGATTCTCTCCCACTTCCACTCAGGAATAACCATCTGCTGATGCAAGCCACCCGGTCATTGATGCTCGTATTTCACCTGCTGACAATTGAGACACCGAGCTACAAACTCCACAATATCTCTCTTCATCCTCCGCCACCAATAGTGCTGTCTAAGATCCTGATACATCTTTGCGGCACCCGGATGAATCGAATACCGCGAGGTATGGGCCTCCTCCAAGATCAACTCCCGAAGCCCATCTACATTGGGCACGCAAATCCGGCCCTGCATCCTCAACACACCATCATCACCAATGGTCACATCTCTGGCATCATCATGCTGAACCCTGTCCTTAAGGACAAGCAAATGCGGATCATCAAACTGGCACTCTCTGATGCGACCATATAAGGAAGACCGAGAACCACACAAGATAACACCCGGCTGGGCTCCGAAATATCTAATCTCACAAGCCGATTGGCCAAGGCCTGAACATCAACTGCAAAAAGGCCTCTCCTCAACTGGAATGTACGCCAAGCTCCCCATACTCACTGCCTTTCGGCTCAAAGCATCGGCCACTACATTACCAACTTGTCACGACCCGGATTTCCCACCCTCGGGAGTCGTGATGGCGCCTACTAATGAGAGTTAGGCAAGCCAATTTAATTACTTTTTCATTAATAACATAATCCCTTTTAACAATTATCGACAATAATACAAAAGCAACGAAATTAAATAATAAGCGGAAGTCTTAATATTTTAGAAAGCTGAATAGAAATGCGGATAATTCAACAAGAGCCTTT